TAGAACTAACACTAGACCGAGAACTAGAAGCATTCGGATTTAGCCGTACATCTCTCAAGATGGCTAAACCTGAATGATTCTAGTTATTGGTCTTGTGTTAGTTCTAGTGATAGTGTAAAACTAGAACTAACACTAGACCTAGAACTAGAAAATTTCGGGTTTAGCCGTGCGTCTTCAGACGCACGGCTAACGTTTTTAAAAAGATCCTGTAATGGGCACATTTTGGAAAAACAATTGAATATCTCAGGTAGTATGAACGCTGTGAAATAGTAACATATACACAGTATAAATAGTATAAAAAAATAGTATAAAAAATAGTATAATATACACAGGTTGTATAAACAAGTTTAGTTGTATCCATAATATTATAAAATATATATATTAAAACTTTGAAAATACAGGAAATACATATACATACAGGGTGTTTCATTACAGAAAACGTAACGTTGTTTCGTCATAACTTTTTAACTGACCCTGTATAAAAAAATTTAATATATATATTTTATAATATTATGGATACAACTAAACTTGTTTATACAACCGTATATGTTACTATTTCACAGCGTTCATACTACCTGAGATATTCAATTGTTCTTCAAAAATGTGCCCATTACAGGATCTTTTTAAAAACGATGTAAAAACGACATTTTTTCCGATTTTGCCTTGAAATTACGTCAGAATAATACTCAAAGCTAGTAGGGAGATGATAGTATTGAAAAATACACTATACAGCGTGTTTATAAAGCTTAGTTACTTTTGATGTTTTTCAAATGGCTTTTTCTTAAGTTTTTTAAGTGGAACAGCCTGTATATCAGGTCATCATCAAGTGCCCTTTAATTAATGATAAGTATGTCATATGTCTAACTTTAATAGTTTTCTTGATATTTAGAATTTAAAGAAAAATGTGTGATAAAATGTCATTATTGTACTTAAAAAAGTGATAGAATGTAATATATTCTGTTCTTTTTTTGAATAAATAATCAAAACGTGATAAAAATACAAAAACTACAATTAAATGGCAGAACAATAAATTCCTTTTTTAATTACTAAATTATTTGAAGGAAATGCAGCAACAAACTATAAACAATTACTAAACGTTGCTCAACAAGGTATTAATTTAATTAATATTTAGAAGTTGTTCAAAATGCCGCCCATTTTCTCTTCTACAAGTATTAATGCGCTGTATAAAAGATCTTGAGGTATCTTTTAACATATACATCTTATTTTCTCGAAAGTCGTAAATTATATGGTAGAACAATTGCATATTTTATTACTTACATCTTTTTAAATCTCATAAAATGATTAATTAATTATTTTACATTATAAAATATTAATCACATAATAAAAGGAAGAACAAAATAACTGATAAAAATAGACAGAATATAATATTAAGTACAATAATGCATATTTTATTACACATTATTCTTTAAATTCTAAATATCAGGAAAACCACTAAAGTTAGATATATGACATACTTGTCATTAATTAAAGGTAACTTGATGGGCAATTCAACCAGCACACAATGTACAGGGTGTTCCATTTAAAAAACTTATGAAAAAGCCATTTGAAAAACATCAAAAGTAACCAAATTTTATAAACACCCTGTATAGCGTATCTAATATTTTTGGATACTGAATATCTCAGAAACCATGAACGCTATGAATTAGTAACATATACGGTTGTATAAACAAATGTAATTCTATTCATAACATGATAAAATATACAGGGTGTTCCACTTAAAAGAATCTACATTATCTTCGTTACGCCTAAATGGAACACCCAGTATAAAGGGAAATAATTTTACGTAATAGAATGTTTTTCTATTACGTTATGTTGATATTTTTCTTTCTTTTTTTCATATATGGTCTGTTATCTCCTAAATTAAGATAAGTATCAAAAAAAATTAAGAAATTTCCATTTTTTTAAAATTTTGTATACTGTGTAATATACAGGCTGTTCCATTAATTCATCATTACTTTTTGACTAACACTACATATTTAATATATACTTATTGTAATAAATAGATTATAAAAAGCACTACAACATTAAATTTTTCGCTAGTTATTTAAATTTGTATATAAATTTATATATACAAATTTGAAAATAAACGATTAAATTGACCACACCCATTTGAATCCTGTTTAAGCAAGTTAGTGAGGTTCATTCGCGGATTCCATGGCGACGAGGACGTAGAACGGACTAATTAATAAAAGGTATACATCCCTTTCCCCCCATTTCGGGACCTGAAGGCTGTGTAGCGAGGTAGCGCATATTATTATGATGCAGGTATTCGTCAAGTCGCTACTTGTTACTTCATTAGCGCTGGCGCTGCCCGCTTGATGCAAAGGGTATCGGGACGAAGACGACATGGAGTAATGGGGATCCACTCTGCGGACTCTCTCTTTAAAGGTATACGGAATAAGATGAAGAAAGAGAACGTGGAGAAAGACGGGAGGAGTGCAGATGGTTGAAAAGATGTAGGAAAGAAGGTTGAAGGGGAAAAGAGGTAATTGGATTTCTGTAATGAGTGTACATTCAGATACAGTTAGAGTAGAAAAGTATTTGTACTTAAAAAAAATTATATTTTTGACAGTTAAAAATATTTTTTAACCCGGCCGGGCAATTAGACTCGTCCAAAAACCAATCCCCACGGATCAAGTCCCAGTCCGGGGCAATCTCGCAATTAGACACGGCGCTTAATCAGCAGACCGTTTCCCCGAGAGGCGGGCATTTAAAAAAACGTTAAGGCACAGAGAGAGAGAACTATTTTGAGCAATCCGGGGCCGGGGCGGACTTTCCCGAGAAAAATCACCAGAAATTTATCAACGTTGGTCGCGAGGAGATTGAAAAGGGGGCCCATGGCCCCCGGGGGCGGCCACCTCACCCTCCCCCCGACACTTCCATCAGCTGATGCGATTTTAGTTATACCTACTACACTCCTCATTAGAGCAACGAGTTATGGCGTAGCACCAAAAATATTTTTTCCAAGATAATTGGAAGATAATTGGTTTCGAAAAACGTTCGGGGTGGAGCACCTTGATGATAATCATACCGAGTCGAACACCAAAAATTTACATTTTACGCGAAATTCACCACGTAAATTCTTCATCTTATATTCAAGCTTCGATTAACGTAAAGTAGGGTACTCGGTGATGATAATCGCACCCACCATCTGTCGTATCAAATCGCATGAAAAGAGAACGACTCGAACACCTGGTAATAATAATAATTATTATCTAAACTCTAAACTCTCTAAGATCTTAGAGTTTATACACAGCAAATCGCGCGAGTTAGAAGATTAGAAAGACAACAAGAACCTGGAAGAGAGAATGGATCTGTTGGTTATTGTTGTATTGTTGGAGGTAACACTTAAATAATTGTTGAGTGAGAGGGAGCATTAAATGACATTAATTACCTACACTATTACGAAGGTAATCTAGTCATAACGCTTCCCATGGGAGTTAATTAATAATGTTATTTTTATAACAAAAGTAGTTACCTCGATTATACCTTTGTAAATGGGATTAGAACGTGATTATGAAATCATCTCATTACACAAGCTTAATTTGAATCATCAAATAATTTTATTTAAATATTAATTATATTATTTTTATAAACGTTTGAGGCGCCACCTGAGACAAACCATCACATTAGCATTAATTGCCAAGGTGACGCCTCGTTTTTCGCCTTCTTCTCCTACTCTACAAGGCAATGTCAGGTGGAAAGATACATTCGGACGACGAGCGCCACCGCGAAGCAGACCAGGTATTATTTATGGCAGCCATAAGTACAAATAATTATTCCTCATTACCGGGTAATGGTCCCACTTATAAGAAGTGACGCTGCGCCAGCTCCGACCGCCGCCTTATGGAAATTAGTGGATATTTAAATTGGAAATTTCTCCAACGGCAAGATGATACCAACACATAAGATATCACGAAAAGGGATACAGAAAAAAAATTCCATTAATTTTAATAACTTGACGAAATTTTAAACGATGCTATTTCAAGTTCTAAGATTTCTCAAAGTTCCACAGGAAACTGCAGAAAGAGGTTTGCAATGTGGGGGTGGTTTTGCAGCCGCGAACTAATCGCCCAATCTTTCCACTGATGGTTGCTGACGACTTTTCGTCCATTTAAGAAAATCGCGCGCCATTAGGAAACTCAAAATCCACCACCCAAAATGACAATCTTCTTGTTCTCTCCCCCTTACAATCTTAATCTGTTCTTTAATTGGTGGTGTGATTTGGCGTTATTAAATATTTTCCTGTTTGAGTTTAGGGAAAGAGAAGATTAATTTATTTTGGTGGGTTGGGTTAAGTTTGCTTTTAGGGGTTGGTAATTAATAATTCGGAGATTAAGATGAATATATTTAAGATTTCCATAAATTACAATTTAATGCAAACTCGATTTATAATAAATTTTTTCGCAAACCTCCTCCTTCTACATGGTGTGTCGCAGTCACGTAGGTTTTTAATCTGTCAAAAATGAGTGATACGAGACACTGTCGGATAGAGGCGCGGTCCAATTTCTGTGTGTGTGTCGTAGATCCGTATCCGTCTGTTTAATGCCACGAATTACTTACATACTACTCGGTCTCAGGAAATTTTATAAATGGAAATTGGATTGGGCGACATCGCATAGTGGGCCACACGACGTACAAATGGCCGCCGGCCTTAGAAGGATACGTTTGTTTATGCCTAGAATACCGAGGGAATTCTGGGGGGAACACGTTTCTGTATGCAAAAGTTGCCCTTTCCGACGAACGTTCGCTACACGTTTCTCGTCTTCTTTCACGAAATATAAACGTGAAAGAACTGATGGGTGACATTTCTCATGTTCATGCTCTAAAAACTATATTAAGATTCATCTTTTCACTACTTGTCTTCCTATTGGAAAATGGAAAAGACTCGTTTTGGTTGTCATCTGTAATAAATGAAGAGATTTCCTTATAATTTCATCGTATTATAGTATTAAAATTTTAATAATCTATAATTAATTTAAGGATAATGGTTCAGATCAAGATGATTGTAGCCTATCTCTCTATTTAACTACATTTTCAATTGAGGAATAAGCAAGAAGTGGAGAAATTCCTAAGTTTGTGCAGAAAATAACCCGTGAATTACGTTCCATTCCCAGTGAAGAGGTTCCTAAGCTGCTACAATAATCAGTGGTAATTAATTTTCTGCTTATTAGAATTAATATCAATGTTTTCCTGATTTCAGAGTACATAGACCGTGAAAGTAATGCCACGCAGAAACTGATAACATAATCTAAGGTAAGAAAGAAATGGTAATTTATTAAGTATATCCATAGAAATGATGTCGAGTCTAATACTTTGGAAGTAAAAATTTAATTGCTGGATCGACAACAATGGCAAAGATAATTCTCTCTTTGTTACTTTATTCTCTTTGTTAAAAATATCACTGCTTTGAGTCCTCCTTCAAAACATTGTTTGCGATGGCTTAAAAATAAAATCATTAAAGCTAAAATTTAGATTCCAATAGGAATTTTTGCCCAACACTGTCAGTTGATTCATCTCAATACATTGATGGGATGATGGTAACCCTCGACATACTGTTTAAGCCAGGCATCGGCAATGTTCTCCCTCAACATCTGGTTTGGCATGATTCTTTTCCTTTCAATAATTTCATTTCAAAATTGTCAATTTTGACTTCAAAAATGTTCTGTAACTGGAAATCTAAACATGATGGAGAAATAATGTTAGGTAACAAATTGTGCTCAATAAATCATAAAAACGTAATCTATAAAGAATGTTGTTCCAATCATATCCATTTTTTGCATTCATCTCAAAACATCTCAAAACTTCATAAATTTTGGATTTTGTAAAGAGAATTCTTTTATAATTGGAAATTAAAGCCGATGTAGAAATGACATTATTGATATAAATTATTCTTAAAGAATCATAAAATCATAATCCATCAAGAATTTTATTTCAATTATTACCATTTTTTAGTTCTAACCCAAAAATTGTCAAATATTCAAAATTGTCGATTTTGACTTCAAAAATGTTCTGTAATTGGAAATTTAAACATGATGGAGAAATAATGTTAGGTAACAAATTGTGCTCAATAAATCATAAAAACGTAATCTATAAAGAATATTGTTCCAATCATATCCATTTTTTGCATAAATCTCAAAACATCTCAAAACTTCATAAATTTTGGATTTTGTAAAGAGAATTCTTTTATAATTGGAAATTAAAGCCGATGGAGAAATGACATTATTGATATAAATTATTCTTAAAGAATCATAAAATCATAATCCATCAAGAATTTTATTTCAACTATTACCATTTTTTAGTTCTAACCCAAAAATTCTCAAATATTCAAAATTGTCGATTTTGACTTCAAAAATGTTCTGTAACTGGAAATCTAAACATGATGGAGAAATTATCTTAGGTTACTAATTGTACTCAAGTAATCAAGAAAACGTAATTTATAAAGAATGTTGTTCCAATCATATCCATTTTTTGGATTCATCTCAAAACATCTCAGAACATCATGAATTTTGGATTTTATAAAGAGAAATCTTTTATAATTTGAAATCCAAAGCCGATGCAGAAATAACATTGTTGATATAAATTGTTCTTAAAGAATCATAAAACCATAATGCATCAAGATTTTTATTTCAACTATTACCATTTTTTAGTTCTAACCCAAAAATTCTCAAATATTCAAAATTATCGATTTTAACTACAAAAATGTTTTATAGCTGGAAATCTAAATATGATGGAGAAGCAATGTTAGGTTACAAATTGTACTCATTGAATCATAAAAACGTAATCTATAAAGAATGTTGTTCCAATCATAACGATTTTTGCATTCATCTCAAAACATCCCAAAACATCATGAATTTTGGATTTTGTAAAGAGAAATCTTTTATAATTTGAAATCCAAAGCCGATGCAGAAATAACATGGTTGATATAAATTGTTCTTAAAGAATCATAAAACCATAATGCATCAACAATTTTATTTCAACTATTACCATTTTTTAGTTCTAACCCAAAAATTGTCAAATATTCAAAATTGTCGATTTTGACTTCAAAAATGTTCTGTAACTGGAAATCTAAACATGATGGAGAAATAATGTTAGGTAACAAATTGTACTCAATGAATCATAAAAACGTAATCTATAAAGAATGTTGTTCCAATCATATCCATTTTTTGGATTCATCTCAAAACTTCATAAATTTTGGATTTTGTAAAGAGAATTTGTTTATAATTGGAAATTAAAGCCGATGGAGAAATGACATTATTGATATAAATTATTCTTAAAGAATCATAAAATCATAATCCATCAAGAATTTTATTTCAACTATTACCATTTTTTAGTTCTAACACAAAAATTCTCAAATATTCAAAATTATCGATTTTAGCTGCAAAAAAGTTCTATAAGTGGAAACCTAAACATGATGGAGAAATAATATTAGATTACAAATTGTACTCATTGAGTCATAAAAACGTAATCTATAAAGAATGTTGTTCCAATCATAACGATTTTTTGCATTCATCTCAAAACATCCCAAAACATCATGAATTTTGGATTTTATAAAGAGAAAATTTTCATAATTTGAAATCCAAAGTCGATGCAGAAATAACATTGTTAATATAAATTGTTCTTAAAGAATCATAAAACCATAATGCATCAACAATTTTATTTAAACTATTACTATTTTTTAGTTCTAACCCAAAAATTCTCAAATATTCAAAATTGTCGATTTTGACTTCAAAAATGTTCTGTAACTGGAAATCTAAACATGATGGAGAAATAATGTTAGGTAACAAATTGTACTCAAAGAATCATAAAAACATAATCTGTAAAGTATGTTGTTCCAATCATAACCATTTTTTGCATTCATCTCAAAACATCTCAAAACTTCATAAATTTTGGATTTTGTAAAGAGAATTCTTTTATAATTGAAAATTAAAGCCGATGGAGAAATAACATTATTGATATAAATTGTTCTTAAAGAATCATAAAATCATAATCCATCAAGAATTTTATTTCAACTATTACCATTTTTTAGTTCTAACCCAAAAATTCTCAAATATTCAAAATTGTCGATTTTGACTTCAAAAATGTTCTGTAACTGGAAATCTAAACATGATGGAGAAATAATCTTAGGTTAGTAATTGTACTCAAGTGATCAAGAAAACGTAATTTATAAAGAATGTTGTTCCAATCATAACCATTTTTTTGCATTCATCTCAAAACATCCCAAAACATCATGAATTTTGGATTTTATAAAGAGAAATCTTTTATAATTTGAAATCCAAAGCCGATGCAGAAATAAGATTGTTGATATAAATTGTTCTTAAAGAATCATAAAACCATAATGCATCAACAATTTTATTTCAACTATTACCATTTTTTAATTCTAATCCAAAAATATTTAAAATTGTCGATTTTGACTTCAAAAATGTTCTGTAACTGGAAATCTAAACATGATGGAGAAATAACGTTAGGTAACAAATTGTACTCAATGAATCATAAAAATGTTATCTATAAAGAATGTTGTTTCAATCATATCCATTTTTTAGATTCATCTCAAAACATCTCAAAACGTCATAAATTTTGGATTTTGTAAAGAGAATTCTTTTATAATTGGAAATTAAAGCCGATGGAGAAATAACATTATTGATATAAATTGTTCTTAAAGAATCATAAAATCATAATCCATCAAGAATTTTATTTCAACTATTACCATTTTTAGTTCTAACCTAAATATTCTCAAATATTCAAAATTGTCGATTTTGACTTCAAAAATGTTCTGTAACTGGAAATTTAAACATGATGGAGAAATAATGTTAGGTAACAAATTGTACTCAAAGAATCATAAAAACATAATCTGTAAAGTATGTTGTTCCAATCATAACCATTTTTTGCATTCATCTCAAAACATCTCAAAACTTCATAAATTTTGGCGATATAGAAATAACATTGTTGATATAAATTGTTCTTAAAGAATCATAAAACCATAATGCATCAACAATTTTATTTCAACTATTACCATTTTTTAATTCTAATCCAAAAATTGTCGAATATTCAAAATTGTCGATTTTGACTTCAAAAATGTTCTGTAACTGGAAATCTAAACATGATGGAGAAATAATCTTAGGTTACTAATTGTACTCAAGTGATCAAGAAAAGTAATCTATAAAGAATGTTATTCCAATCATATCCATTTTTTGGATTTCTCTCAAAACATCTCAAAACTTCATAAATTTTAGATTTTGTAAAGAGAATTCTTTTATAATTGGAAATCCAAAGCCGATGCAGAAATAACATTGTTGATATAAATTGTTCTTAAAGAATCATAAAACCATAATGTATCAACAATGTAATTATAATATAATATAATATAATATAAATTGTTCTTAAAGAATCATAAAATCATAATGCATCAACAATTTTATTTCAACTATTACCATTTTTTAGTTCTAATCCAAAAATTGTCAAATATTCAAAATTGTCGATTTTTACTTCAAAAATGTTATGATATAACCATTTTTTTGCATCATCTCAAAACATCCTAAAACTTTATGAATTTTGGATTTTATAAAGAGAAATCTTTTATAATTTGAAATCCAAAGCCGATGTAGAAATAACATTGTTGATATAAATTGTTCTTAAAGAATCATAAAACCATAATGCATCAACAATTTTATTTCAACTATTACCATTTTTTAGTTCTAATCCAAAAATTGTCGAATATTCAAAATTGTCGATTTTGACTTCAAAAATGTTCTGTAACTGGAAATTTAAACATGATGGAGAAATAATGTTAGGTAACAAATTGTGCTCAATAAATCATAAAAACGTAATCTATAAAGAATGTTGTTCCAATCATATCCATTTTTTGGATTCATCTCAAAACATCTCAAAACTTCATAAATTTTGGATTTTGTAAAGAGAATTCTTTTATAATTGAAAATTAAAGCCGATGGAGAAATAACATTATTGATATAAATTGTTCTTAAGGAATCATAAAATCATAATCCATCAAGAATTTTATTTCAACTATTACCATTTTTTAGTTCTAACCCAAAAATTGTCAAATATTCAAAATTGTCGATTTTGACTTCAAAAATGTTCTGTAACTGGAAATCTAAACATGATGGAGAAATAATGTTAGGTAACAAATTGTACTCAATGAATCATAAAAACGTAATCTATAAAGAATGTTGTTCTAATCATAACGATTTTTTGCATTCATCTCAAAACATTCCAAATCTTCATGAATTTTGGATTTT